ATTGGCTTTTAATGCCAGTATTATCCGGCAGCATTTGTTTAAGCAAGCAAACTTTGAACTGGTTTTGGTTTCAGCAGATTCTGCAGATGAGACTAAAACATGTTTTATATATATTTACCAGTGTTTTAGCCTCAAACCAAAATTGAAATATCATTCAGAATAGCAAGGTACAGTATTTTCTATAACCTATGACAAATTCGAAATTTATAAACTGATTTATTAAAAGTATTCTTGAATTTTTCCTTTCATTTGTCGAACCGCGAACAACTATGCATCAACCAATTAACAAGTTAGAGTCAATGTGACAGGTGACTGCATTGAGAGGTATTTCAATCTCATGGCCACTTCTCATGGATAATTCATCCACTCGTGTCTGCATATGTCGCAGTCTGGGCATTGATGAAGGAGGCCTAGGTCAAAACTCAGACACGCTACGTTTACAAATGATGGTTCAGCCAATCAAGATTGATTGCTTTAAGAAAGGTTCAACACACTAAACATTTGCTTCATATGAGCCATGATTGAGGCTCTTTCTGTTCGTTAATTGCCTTCTTGTCTTAAGATAATTACAATTCTTACAGATTTTGATTTGGTTATTCTAAGCTGGAGTGCATTAATTATTGCAAATAACTGGCCTTAAAAATTCGCTACATGAAGCGGTTAGAATAATGGGAATTTTGTACTATCGCTGACAGATTATTATTTTTTATAGATCTACGTTAACTAAATATAAAAGGAATAGTAACAGAGTGCTTAATGCACCTGTACTATGAACTTTGAAACCTGAGTTAAATTATAATCAGCCATCAGTGGCGGGTAATATCTAAACTGATTCTGGACGCCCCTTCACCAACGTGCAATGACCCAGTGCAGTGAAGTATGGTAGAAAAAATCCCATAATTCACAAGATGCACGAAAGTCTTTATCCAGGTTTGTATTGACAAAGGGCTGAAAACTTAATTTAACATTTTTTCACAATAGTTAGTATTTTACCAATAAATTTTTTTAAATAAGTCCATAGGTGATAACAGTACTCAAATAATATGAAAATGCCTATAAAAAATGTAATATATTTATAAGGTAATGCTTAATTACATTTTAACACTTATGCTAGGAGAAGGTTACATTGCAATGTTTGGGCAATTGATTTATTGAAGGCATGTGGCAGGATTCAGGAATATATAGAGAATACTGAAATGTATAGATTTGTGAACCCACTTGCTGTACTGCTATCTCGTTGCCACTCTGCACCCTGTCAGGTTTGGGAATTTTCACCCAAAATACACTTAGCACTATGATTGAATAAAGTAGCCCAATAATACGCGACTATATTTCACATCAGTAGGAATACAGTGTGTTTACAGTTGCGTTGTTTCGAATATAATTGTCGACTCAACAGTTGCAATCGCAACAAAACCACATGCAGCAATGATGCATGAATGGCTTGACTCTGGTTGGCGTTGCACCACGTGTTGTTCGGCATCACGTGGACATCAGAGAGTAAAAGACAACTAAAGAATGTGGTGTTGAGAGATGATGCCCCTTAATAATGTATTGTTTATGAACTCTCAATGCAAAAACAGTCCAAGTAATAATGCAGCATTCATTCAACAGTTTGTACTTGTGGAATTGTGAATCTTTCCCGTGGGCTTTCTAATTATAAACTCTTTGAGGACTTGCAGTTCTCTGGTGCACACACATCTCCAATTTCGGCTCTGGGTTAAAAAAGTAGCACTTTTAAAAAGTATACATCATTGTTTTCAGTGGCTCTGGTGGCCAAATTCATTGTTATAAAAATATACATCCAGTGTCTAAGTTATTAAGTGTTACTTATGAGGCTTAATCCACTCCATTGGGCACTTAAAACCCATATGACCATGCTGGTAGGCACAGTAGCTGTCTCACTTGCCCTAATTTTTACTGGGGTACAGAGCACTTTGTACAGTCATGAAGGGAATTGGGGCATTTAATAGGTTGTTTGCATTCCCGTGGGCTCTTTTGATCTCGGTGGGAATTATTGTCCTGGATACTGCATGTATATTGTATCGCAGAAAGATGATATATTACCATCTGATGTCAAGTGAATAAACCCATCCAGATCATCGCATTGCATTCATGCAGACAACAATGGTACAAATGCATTGCCAGTGCCCTGTAAGGTATATGAGGAGTGCTTTGGTAAGTCTGCATATTCTACTCAAGTGTGGTGCTTGCAGCAGAGTTTTTAAATTTTTAGTTGAAGGTACGGAAGTGGCTCCCAGTGACCTCCACGTGCTGTTACGGTGAGATGAGCAAATTTCAATTCCAATGAAGCAGTGAAGTCACGCGAGAAGCAAGACAAAAACGGTCTTGCGATCAAGGCCTTAGACAACAGTATGGGGGCCGGGTACACGGCACTCTAAAGGAATTGTGCTGAATACTAACCCCGGCATTAAGGTGCATCAGCAGTCACAGGTGGCTATCTTGCAAGCTTAGTGTAAGCATTGCATGGAGTGACGCTCTCTGATATGAGGTTATTTTTTTTGTTATGAAACTATACATCTCTGATGTAAACGCAGATCTTAGTGAACAAGAGACATGTGTCAAAGTATTATTACTGGTTTTGTCTGAGTTTAATTGTTACCTATGGGAGATACTATTGATAATTATATATTCATGGTTCTTTCGGTAAAGTCACGTTGAAGGGAAACAATAACATTATAAAATATATAAAACAATAAAATTCTCACGACGTTTCGACTGCAACACAAGCAGTCATCATCGGCCACATGGCCGGCCTGCTCTAGACCAATTCTTCGACCACATCAATTCCATACACCCAGCCATCAGATTTACCATGGAAGTCGAAAAAGATGGCAAGCTACCTTTTTTGGATGTCCTAATAATAAAGAGACCTGATGGTTCAATGAGCCATTCTGTCTACAGGAAAGCTACCCATACGGATGCATATCTGAAACCGGATTCCCACCACCATCCATCATAGAAGAATAGTCTGATAGTGTGCTGTTTTTGAGTTGTACGCCTTTTGGCGTCTTCTGGTCCAACACCAGTGGAGACTAGGCTCTAAAGAAAGCCGTCTCGGGTGTGGACCAATCAAATTCAAGGACAGTGCATATTATTATCAGAGTTACCTTTTGGTTTGCATTTTGACTGCTTGTGTTGTGGTTATTGCAGACATGATGCCTTGAATAAAGGTGTCAGTTTTTTGTGCCAGTTAAAAGGGTAAAACCTATTACTATAAGAATTCTCTCATCAAGACTCTGCACCATAGAGCCCAATGCATATCCGACCAGGAACACATAGGCAGTAAACTCAAGCACGTACACCAAGCTCTTAAGGCTAATGGTTACTCCGAATATACAATCCGCAAAGCTATCACTAAAACCATGAAGAAGGACCCTCTTGAGGAGCCTTTCAAAACCATCACTTTACCCTACATTGCGGGGATCACAAAAATGATCTCCAAAATCTTGATTAAACACAAGATCCAGGTCCGTTTCAACACATTACATAAAATCCGTGATCTGGTTCCGTCTGTAAAAAATGTGATTCTGGACATACTGTACCCTGGTGTCTACAAACTAAGTTGCCTCTGTGGTAGTAGTTACATTGGAGAAACCAAACGACAAGTCTCGGACCGCATTCGTGAACACAAGCAGACCTTAAACACGGTAGGCACAATACCTCGGCCGTGGCAGATCACTGTTATAATTCAGTAGGCTCACATGACATTGACTTCTCCAAGACAGAGGTCTTTGCAAGCCATCTGGCTACCATGAGAGATTCGTTCATGAGGCTATCCACATATACAAACACAGAGACAATTTCAACCGAGAAGATGGATTCTGGCTTAGCAATCATTGGAAGGACTTGATAAACCATTTTGGGTCTTAATTGATTGTTCATGCTTACGGTGGCTTTCAGACAGCATACATTAATTTTTCGTCTCCCACCTCCTCTTTTCCGAACATAGATGGACTTTTCCATCTAAACAAACTGTCAAATCGCTATCCGTGGTGCTAACGTAAAAAAATAAATATATAAATTCAAACCGCCGCTTCTTTAAAATGTTATTGCCATTGGTTTTCACACCTGATGATGACTGCTTGTGTTGCAGTCGAAACGTCGTGAGAATTTTATTGTTTTATATATTTTATTATTTTTTTGTTTCCCTTCAACGTGACTTTACCGAAAGAACCAAGAATATAGTGACACAGTAGTTAAGGTCCTGCTCCACGAGCCCAGTTACCTTGGTTTGATTTTGCAGCCATGATTCATATCTGTGGTCCTGTATGTATGTTGAACTTCTTTCGCACCATAAGTCGCCAAGCATGCTAATCGGAGGTGCGGGTCCGTGATATCAAAACCAGTCCTGAGTCCAACTCTTCACCAATGGTTAACTGTGCAGTATGGTGAAATTTGGCTCAACAACTCCCATGACCGACATGGCATGGGGAAACCCTTAATTCAGCAGATTATTGACTATTATTTGATCGCTTTTGTACCGAGTAAGTGAACACGAGTGTGCACGCATGAGAGTGCATCTAAAGAAGCATTATCCACGGCTCAGAGAATGCATAATTGATATGTGCATGCCCAGTGAGCGTACACATGTACCTCATGAACCTCACATTATGCACGCTATGCGTGTGTAAGTGTGTACATACAGGGAGCAGTTGCAGTCATTAACCCACTGTGCTACAAACCCGGCAGACGGGGTTTGATTCCTAGTCACATCCCAACATCAATGGTTGTTATCCGAACCATTCTTGGGCCTCCTATGGGTCCACCTTTCCCTGCCCTCTCCCCTTTCTACAAGTAATTGGTACGGTGTGTAAACATCAGCGTTGGGAAGACAAAGGTGGCCCGGCATGGTGTTCGCCACACCATGGCCTCGTGCACCACGCCGGCCTTTGTAGTTGCTCGCTCGGCCTTCTGACTGTTGTTGTCACTACACCGGTGGCTGGGTGGGTGACGGTGCGGGATCTTTGCGCATCCAGGCCTGGGAGTGCTGGCGAAAGTGATCCAGGAGGCCTCCCAGCGCAGGTGGCAGATGACCGCGCGGTGCGTGGAGAACATGAACGACGAAGAATACCGGGCCCTGCTCGAGGACCTGGACTCCCGCAAGCAGCACAACATTGTTCTGGACTGCGAGCCCGAGCGCCTGGATGCCATCATGTCTCAGGTCCATTTGAGCGAGTGGTCTGGTTGCGTATGGCGCGAAAGAAGTTTCCACGTGCGCGCTTGCATACATGCATTGTCACTGGGGGTCGCAAGCTGTTGCTGGGTGTCCCAGGGTCGTTCTCCATCTGAGGTGAGCTACCCCTGGGGAATCTGTGAGGCTTCCTATCCATCCTCTTGTGTTCACAAGGTGTAAGGGCCGATGGCCCTGGATAGGCCACATAATGTTGGTGGAGAGTGGCAAGCGGTTCCGAGTTGGTCTGTGAGGCTTGGAACATCTCGGAGATGTTATTGTGTAGGAAGCTGAAGTGCATTCAGTGATAGTTTATTTCATGTTTTACGGAGACTAGGATTTCTACCTACTTGTCCGTGGTTCTAAACTACTATGAACTGAATATTATTTTACCAGGTAAGGCCTACCAAGCTATGTAGCTCTTTTTCAGAATAGACCTGGCCACAAATGATATCTAAACTAAGTGGCTCATGATGTGGAAATTATAGCAGTCATATATGTACTATAAACGCATTGTTTATAATGTGGAGGGAAAAACCGGAGGACCCAGAGAAAAATCGACGCGATCATGGGGAGAGAGACACGCAAACTCCAAATAAAGAGGTGTCATGGTCGGGATCCAACCTACGATCTCCTGTATATCGGGCAATGTAGTTAATATCTCGCCACCGTGGCGCCCTATTATTGTCCTCTGGGGTACTGTAGCTCGCCTGGGAATTCCTACGCATTATTAGTCCCAGTGGTTGTCCGTTACATTTAGTTCTCCCTCTCTTCCGTTCTTGGGAGCTATCCACCTCTCCATAATGTGTCCCAGTTCTTTGTGCCTCAAAGGAGGTGACTCCATGGGTCAGCACTGCCTGCACAGGAGCAATGGCCGATTGTAATGTTATAACGTATATTCAGAAGATGCATTGAGTTATATTTAGAATGGTAAATCTTCACGGTATGAAGGTTAAATTTTGATTTAAAGCTTTCGTGACTGCAGTAATTCATATTCTTAGTTATTTCGGTAAAGTCACGTTGAAGGGAAACAACAAAATAATAAGATATATATGAAACAATAAAAATTCTCACGACGTTTCGAACATAACACAAACGGTCGTCTTCAGGTGTGTTGGTTTGCATAAATTTATTTTTAAACGGTGCATTTATTTATAAAAAAACGTTAGCACCAAATCGCTGCGCGTGGCGCTAACGTTTTTTTTTATAAATAAATGCACCATTTAAAAATAAATTTATGCAAACCAACACACCTGAAGACGACCGTTTGTGTTATGGTCGAAACGTCGTGAGAATTTTTATTGTTTTATATATATTTTATTATTTCGTTGTTTCCCTTCAACGTCACTTTACCGAAAGAACTAAGAATAGGTATGAAGGTTCTTTCTCAGGAGGGTCCTTCATTGGGATGTTTGGTTAGTTTGGTTCTGTTAGTGGGCGTTTGGGAGAGCGTCAGAGTACCTCGAGAAAAACTCAACCCTCGTGGATACCACAGAGTTCTACACTTGCTGTACCACCATCTTCTGGCTGCCTCACAGTCCATCAGGATGGGAGTCTCAAAGCACACAACGACCTTGGCATGGACTACCGGAATATGCACCTCTCCGTGGGCCGCATCGTTCTAACGATCGTGTGTATGCAGCACTTAGCTCGCTCAGGCGCAATCTTTGCTGCCTGGGTATGACTCATATCCAGGTACAACATCTACAGCATTTGACATTTAAACCTGGTCTGGACCTCTCCTTTGGTAACTCAGACTTAAATTACTACCTTGCACCATCAGTCAACATCAGCAAGACGGAGGCTAAATAGGGTGAGTGAACGTATTGTGTGTAAGTCTCAGTGAGGTTGTTTGCACTGTACGTAGGTGTTTCATTGAATACGATTACGAAGGAGGCGATTTATATTGAGCAGTTTTACACGTTGTAGTAGGCTTTCACGACCAATATTATCCATAAGGGTTTTTTGGATTAGATCGGAAACATATAAATGTGTCATTAAACCCGCCACCAACCGACAGCCAATTATTAAGGTTTATCACGTAAATAAAAACCTATTATAGATTATATGGAGCACTTTCTGTCCATTTCTGAGTTGTGCAAATAAAAAAGGCGCATGTACGAATTAGCTCTGGTGTAACAAAAAAACAGATCTGCAATAAAGTTTTGACTTAAGCACAAAGAGAGTTCAGCTGTTAACAGAAGGGACAATTAGGGACAAAGCGTGCTGTGCAGTCTTTTACACAACCACTCTTCTTCGGCTTCGTGCCATTTTACTTGGCAGGTTAATCGATGTTTTTTTTTGTGGTTGCTTTAACTGTTTTTTTAGTGGTTGCTTTAACTGGTTTGTGGCCCTGTAAGTCTCATGCCTGTATTCGTGCCTTAATGTATTTATTTAATTAATCAGAGCCCTGATTGATGTAACGATTCTCTTCCTGCAGGCTGTTAGTGTGGGCAAGCATGTGCGTGGCTTCCATTACATCCTGGCTCATCTGGTAAGTGTGCGATAACTCCGGCACGATATCAAATTTGGTGAGCGTCAAAATGCGACTGAATGTCAGAACGCTGTGCACAAAAGGAGAATGCTCAAATTGGCAGCCTGTATAGACAGTCATCACTAATAGCTGTAAACATCTATCACATATACACGCCTCTGTGTGTTGCGAATTTGAGTAGCAATGTGTGATGCAGTTGCATAACTGATGCTGCTGTATACAAACTCAATTGAATAATTAAGAGCAATTTTCGTTGGGTATATGGTGGGCTCTAAGTGGCTACAGGACAGAGAGGGAGAAGAGATGGCAGTATCTCAATGATGAGTGACCGTAACCATCAGCAGGCTAGTAAAAGTTTTAAGGCGACTCTTTACCAGGGAGAGAGAGAGAGTTAGGTTCGGGAAACAATGAAGAAAGCAGCGATCGATGACGAGACGAGAAGAGCGTGGCTGTGGTGGTGGGGACACGCCCTGAGATCTTGAGAACGTGGTAAGCAAAGTTCTGCAGACGGACGTGCAAGCAACATACGAGATGGGAGCGCAGAGATGAAATGGAACCATCAGCAGGCGAGTAAAAGTTTTAAGGCGACGCTTTACCAGGGAGAGAGAGAGAGAGTTAAGTTCGAGAAACAATGAATAAAGCAGCGATCGATGACGAGACGAGAAGAGCGTGGCTGTGGTGGTGGGGACACGCCCTGAGGAGAGATCTTGAGAACGTGGGAAGCAGAGTTCTGCAGACGGACGTGCAAGCAACATACGAGATGGGAGCGCAGAGATGAAATGGAGAGCACATTGATACAAAACAGCGGGAAGCCACAGAAGGAGGAGCAGGTAAGGCCCACTGAGCTATACAACTCGTTTGCAGAAGCGACCTGGTCACAAATGACAGCTCTACAAGGTGGCTTGCCATGTGGAAATTTATAGCTGCCAAATGTGGAGGGAAACACCGAAGGACCCGCACAAAAAGCGATGTGACGACAGGGAAAACGTGTAAAGTCCAAATATCCGGGTGTCAGGGTCAGGATGGGACCCACGACCTCATTTATACCAGGCAAGGCAGTTAACATCTCGCTACCGTGGTGCCCCAGAAGAAGGAACAGCCAGATGGATTGTTACACTGCAAGACCACAAAGGATGGGGAACTCTACATTCAGGAGTTGATAAGATAAAGGGGGAAAGATGATGTTACGGACATTTACATAAATTTACCTCTGCTCCAAATTTGCACGTACAAAATATTATTCGTCGGAATGATTTTAAGGCAGGGTTCGAATATGTTGACAATCTTGCGCTAGTGGTGGGAACGTATCCTCTGTTATGCAAATACAACCACTGCTTCATGTGATTTGGTTGACCGCTGACTGAAATGTTAGCTCGCCAACTTCAAAATGCGAGTCAGGGGCTCTTATCACAGCACCACCTGGCCACATCTTACGAATAATTCTGCACGTATATCGTAGCTCACGGAAAAGGTTTGTAGGACACCCTTCTATTGAGTTAATTTACTTTGGCAGCGTGTTATGCCAGCTCAGTAACTAAATTGTGCTTTAAGTTATTGACTTAATAAAATAAATGTAATGTCACGCGTACTGCACCTCTGAGTGATGAAATAAATAAAAAAAATTCAAATAAACTTATTTGCATAATGCTAATTTTTGTCAATTAAGGTTTAACAAAATGTCACCTTAGCTTATATTAACACATTAACTTATTATTTTGGCACATAATAGAAATATTAATTTAAACTGCATATACAAAGCACGAGAAATGAATTCAGCTGAGCAAATGTGAGTATTTTTTTTTATTCTGACGCAAATTAAAGGAAGTCATTAGACAAGCATGGGGTTTCACTGTCGATGGCAAATTGTTTTTGTGTGGCTTGGAATACTTTGCCCATTATGGATAGTTACTTGTAATTACGTAATCATAATGGCCTTCATCACGTCACTGGAAAATAAGAAATAGCAGCAATAGCCAACCAGCTACGATATTTTCTTAGATTTGTATTTTACCAGGTCACGCCCACTGAACTATACAGCTCTTTTTCAGAAGCAACCCGGCCACAAATGATAGCTCAACGAAGTGGCTTATCACGTGGAAATGTATAGCCGCAGCAGCCAAATACTCTACACACATGATGTTGATTATGAATGTGGATGGAAATACCGAAGGACCTGGATCAAATTCAGACGACCACGGGCAGACCATACAGGCGTCAGGGTCGGGATTTAAGGCACGATCTCCTGTATGCCAGGTGAGCTTTAACAGGATTCAGATTTTAATATGCTCGTATAAGGTGTGATGACAACTATAATTTGGTAAATAAATATTCTCCAAGCTGTGAGCTAATCCCGTTCAATGATCCCTCCAGTGGTCTGTATAATAAGCACCCCCTTGTGAGTGCCACTTGGCGTGAAGTCACGATTGTATGTGTTGCCTTGTGAAACGAATTTCCATCGGAATCAGAAATTCCAACATTGACCATCATCAATGGAAATGAGAAAATTAACACAGGCACACAGAGAGTTGTTTTGAATTCTAAATAGTTTACGAGTCGAGTTACTGTAGGGTTGAATTATTTGACAATATTTGTATGTCGGTGGCACAATGCTATGTGCTCTGCAATAAGAACCAAGCCACTCAAGTTGAATTCTGGGCCATGGATAATGTTAGAGGGGAGTTGGCGAACGCGTGAGTAGTTAGGTTTATGCTGAGATATTTATATATATATCTAAACTACCGTGGTACTAAGTGTTACACAGTAATTATTTTTTATTATATACCATTGCAATGCAGCCACAACGGCAGTTTCGCCCAGTGCTAAATATAAATATTTCATTTGTTAAATCACATTGGCGTGCAATGCTGTGGCATTAAATCATCACACGTATTAAGGTGATAAAACTTGTATGTTCCTTGTCTTAGTAAATTTAGTAGAGACTTTGATTTCAGCATCAGCTTTAACTGACTGCTGTATTGCACTTGTGGTGTCATCAGAGTGTGGGACGTTACCCTCTCAAAGGTATGAACGGGATCATAAAACAAGTCCATTATTTTGACAGTAGATGTACATAAACAACGAATGACGGGCACGTCACACCTTGTAGAGGAACGTCTGAGACGAGTGCAAGTGTAACAAGGTAAAGCATTTTAATTTACCACGGAGCACACCGCCTCACCTTCTTCTCTAAATATCCTGCAAATGAAATTACGTTTGCAGTGTCGAGAGGAAATTTCCGCAGGGCTTTATTTCCTCGAGGCTCCGTTTTTTTTTTGTCACGGTCGCGTTGACGTAGTTACAATCCTGCAAGAGCGAACCGAATCAAATAATCCAGTGGCCGTTGTCTGTTTCATAGAGAGCGACCTCGGGCTACAGAAGATGTTACGCCCTTCGATTGGACCGCGCAGTGCAATTTTTATCCGTTGTGTTGTGGCGCAATCCTCCCTCGGCAAATTAATATGAAATCGACAGCTTTCACACTCGACGGAGCAGCAGCAGCAGAGAGAGAGAGAGTGTGTGTGAACATTATGGGACTGTCTGGCGTGCGTGAAAACGCCTGGTTTCTATATTAATTAAAGCGGAGCTTATGCTCGTTATCGTGAGCCGTGCCACCTACGCTTCATTTTTGCTTCGATGTAGTGTCGCATCATGCCACAAGATCTATGCAGGCAATCCTATTTTAAATGTACTGAACGAAAAAAACACTTTTGAGTGGTTTGTTTTTATTGTTATTACAGACTGTCTTGTTTTTCAGAAAAGCCGCCACAAGCCTATTTTTATGTTGAGCAGATTATTTTCAATTAAAACGTTTATCCCTCTTCGTTACTCGCGAACAATTATTCGGACATTTCAGTTATAATAATCTTTTGAAAATGCTCTGAAAAGGAAAATATTTAAAGCATCCACAATGGTACAACAACTCGTTTGCACCCTTTGCTTAGAGCAACTGTTTGGTGCTTGACCATGCAATGACGATCAGTTATGGATTTAATAATAAGAGCAATAATATAACAATAATGCGCAGGCATTTGTCAATCCACTGCGGGAAAAATTCCTCCCCGTGTCGTGTCAGTGACGGGCTTGTTTGACCAAACTTCACCACACTCTTCACTGTGGGTTTTTGCAAGTGGGGTGCCACGCCTTGGCTGGTAATCAAACTCGGGCCGCTGGTTACATAGCGCAGCGTGCAAATCGCTCCACTACCGGTGCCCCATTTTTGTTACAAGTTTCGTATTCATTAAGTCAAAGGAATTGCCGACCTTAAGACCATGCTGTTTAACGCTGAACTCATGAACAGAGTTGACGATTATTATTTCTAATCATTCCTCGAAAATTAAACGGGTTTTTTCACACGTTTCGTTTCACGATTGTAAATTTAGAACGATTGTACATTTTTGTAATAGTATTCAAATACAATTAGAAGTTCTGATCTTATAAAGCATCTAAATGCAACATCTCCAGACCGATTTGAGACAACGCATTTTCTGGATGTATTTTTTATGATTGCTGAGCACAGGCTCAAAGATCTAAAATGCCAAGTGATAAGTAGCAATCAGCACTGTTGAATGTGTAAAAATAAGATAATCTCCGATTTATAGGCTTTATAATTTAGATATATGATCCAATAAAATGTGTTTTTGAAGGTGAGAACCAGGACATTGCTACGAACGTGCACTTTAGTTACCATGTGGAGCTGTTTCTATTACCAGGACATTCACCATTGTACCCACAAGTGACTCCGTTTGACGGCGCTAATTAATTTAATTACAGGTTAATTGTTTTTGTTAAAATATATTTTGCTTATTAAATTATCTGATCCCGATTTTAATCAATTTCGTTTTTTGGCGGTTTTTTTTTTGTTCAATCTAACTATGCAACAATGTATACAATTGGAAAAATAAAATGAAATCACAATGAATGCCCTGTATTGTCGGAGGGGGTGATGGTCAATAACACTCGTTACGAAGTGCTTGCTACAAATAAACTGCAATACCTTGCTGATCTCGTCAAACAGCATAAACCATAATCACGTGAACTCTGGTCATCCTCGCAGCAGTGGCTTTTGGCTGGCCATCATACAAAGATGGTCACCGCATTGCGCGCTTTCGGATGCGCTTCTGCGGCCGTCTGGAATGCTCTTCCTTCCGATATTTAAAAGCTTACCAGAGCTATGCACTTTAAATCTAGATTTAAAACTCATTTCTTTATAACTGCTTTTTGTGTTCAGTTTGTTATCCTTCCCCCGCACCTCCGATTAGCACAGTTGTCTACGTAAACATATAACAGTCGCAGCCAAGGAATGGAACGTGTCCGAGAGTACATCTAGCGAGGAGATGGAGCGATGGAATCGTTCATATGCAGGTGTTCGGTGGATTGTTGTTACATCGCAAGATTACGAGTGGAATCTTGGCCACGCCTTCATCCAGCAGTGGATAGACCACGGTTGATAATGATGATGCTGATTTTAAGCTTAAACTGTTCTACTATTGATAACTAAGCTGTGCACACATCATTCCTCCCATGAACTAGGCAACATTCAACTTGCTTTCACCAAATACAATATGTAACCACACACCCCTGCAGAGCAGAGTGATACTTTGTTGGAGGACATAGAGAGGGCATTGCTTAATCAGACTTCCCATGGCCGAATACTAACACTTGGCGGCGTGCCAACAGCACGGGGGAATGTAATGGTAACTTTTATTTTTTGCCAGGGAAGCGGTTTTGATGGTTTCGTGTTGGCCCGGATTATGTCGCTTCGCAGGGCTTCACGGACATCGACCTGGAGAAGTTTCAGTATGGTGGCGCAAACGTCTCGGGCTTCCAGATCGTGGACTACGAAGACGCGGCAGTGTCGCGCTTCATGAAGCAATGGAACCAGCAGGATGAGCGAGAGTACCCAGGCTCCGAGAGTCGCATTCTCAAGGTGCCCCAACATAATCGTTATCGTCATTAATTTCCAATCATCATCAATCGTTAATTTATCCATTCATCAACCGTCCTTCGATCACTCATTCGTGCATCCGCTCATAAACCACATATCCATCCATCTATCGTCATTTTTACATTCTCTCAACCTCGATGTAAAGGTTAGCAGCACACTGGATCTACAGTCCGGGGATTACAAGCCCAATTCGATCTCCCTGCACAATAGTTGAAACAATGGGGATCGTTTTTCAAATGGCCCTGCCTCTCTCCATTCAGCAGCATAATTGGGTTCACCGCAGTTCGTCGAGCTGCAGGTCGCGTGTGATGGAATGAGGTGCGGGCACTCTCACATCTTCCAAGACGTCTGACCAGAGTGGAAGCGAAGGCCAAACACCCTCTATAGGGGTTCTCTAGAGCCCCCTCCAGCAGAGGCCCTTCTGCCAGCAATAGAGAGAGAAATTTCAGGGCTGTGCATGTACCTGCACCTAAACAACGTCGACCAAAAATAAATTATAAATCCGCTATCCATGGTCATGCATTTTAAATGGACTGCTGAATCCTTCCCCCGTCCTTTTGTGATTGCCTAAAGCACGTGAGCAGGTGAGCAGGTGAGCACAGTTACCCACCAGTGGGGAGGGGGTGTCGCAGCCCCCTCGAGTCAAGCGTCTTGCCCAATGCAGTCTCTGATGTGTAAAACGGCTAATGTATCTTTACATGCGGACGGAAGAAGAACGTTGCTCACGAAATCGATCGGCCAGCTCTTGTCAGTCTTTTATTCTACGGACCCCTAAACGTGCATTTTGTAGACATTCGCGGCTGCCCCAATGGGTGTCCGGGACCTTCGCTTTGATCTTCCTTGGGCCACCTGACTGTGACCGCGGTGCCTGATTTGGCAGCCGCACTGCAGCTCACTCTTACACGATCGGCGATTTCCCCGCATTCTCACATGTACCTGTCCCTGATTATATTCGCTCTCTTGGCTGCCCTTCTGTCGACTAATTTAAGACCAGAAGGTGGATTGCTTCACTATTCTGGCAAATCGCCCGATGATGCTGGTTGTAATTACCAGCGAAACGTCACGGAACTCAAATTTAAAATGTTGTGGATTTACTCTGCAACAAACCGGTGGGTTGAAGTAGTAACTAATTGGCGCGTTGTTTACGTGACAAACCTTACTTGCTGTGTCAGGTGGTGGAGGTTACGACACATTTATACTTACACGATCTAACCCAAAAACCTTTATTATGAATAATAACGGTTGCGAAAGCCTACGTGTTAAACTACGAATTTGTTATTTTTTTATTCTTTAGGTTGAGTACGTTAATTTATGCTTCCTGTAAATTTGTGTCAATTGTGATTTTATGTGTGTGAGTTACACTGCCATGGTTTTGGCTACCTTCCCATTGCAGCACACACATTGGACTCCCATTGTGAGCACTGGCGAAAGTGCATGAATTTTGTGAATTTTGTTTCTCACAGATATTGTCATAAGGGCGCTATCAATGTCACATCATGAGACAAAGTATCCACTGGGATCTCTCACATGGTAGTGCTTGCCTGCGTGTTAGAGAACAGCCCACGGAAGCAGATAATACAGAGCTACCTCTGATATCCCTTCAAGTGACCTCTGGTCTCCACAGTCGAGGGCAGAAAGTGCATGAATTAAAAGGTTAACACATTTATATATCAGTATAACAAGTAGGCTTTCATGATCAATAGTATCCATAATAGAGTTTTTTTGGGTTAGATATGGCTGTCGCCTGATGATGCTGGTTGTAATAACTGTCGTGGGTTTACTCTCCAACACACCAGTATGCTGTACTAGTAACGAATTGTCATGTTTTATTTAGGTGACAAATCTTACTAATTGGTTGTGTCGGGTGGTGGCGGGTTTAACGACACATTTATATTTACGTGATCTAACCCAAAAATATATATTATGGACATTTAGATATGTTTTCATTTATTTCCATTGAGGTGTGTGTATTATTTATGTCGCATGAATGTTATCATTCATGAATCATTCATTGCCGATATTTATTTCATTACTAAACCCAGCTTAACACATGGCAGTGGAATCTGCACTCATCCGAGCGTCATTTTTGCTCCTATCTTCCCCCCTGACTTGCTCACTGCCACCTCTACCAAACTGGCTATTGCACAGCGCATGATGCAGTGCGATATTTAAATAAAAACCATTCTCTCTGCGGAAAACGACAAGCCTGTATTTCCGGCATTCCTGCATAAACCCAGCTAAGGTGTTCAATTTGCACGCGTGCCTTTGCTATAGCAACCTCTGTGCACATCGACAGCGCACTGCATGACTATATTTAGAGAAATTCCTTGGTTCTTTCGGTAGATAGAAAAATAATGAAGTTAATCAAAAATAATAACAAAAAATATATGTAATATATTTAGTTATTTTGCTCTCTTATTTTGTCACAAGCAGTTTGTGCTTGCACACTCCAGAGGACCCGGCATCCTCACTGCCACACCACCCACGAAGAAAATTCAAGCTTTATTTCAGGCAGAATTAGCCCAACCACAGTCACAACGATTTACATTCAACAGACAGGCGAAGATATCCATATTGTACCTCTTTTGCACCGTACGTAGCCAACTGTGGCTAATCGGAGATGCGGGGAAAGAACAACAAACTAAACAAACTAAAAAGCATTTTTAAAGAAATTAGTTTTAAATCTAGATTGAGTGGTAATTCATGACTGTTTGTCTAAACAACTAAATCTTAATTACATTCGAGAGTGAACACATACATTTAAAAGGTGGTTGAATATTTTTTCTATATTTAACTAAATATTTGCATGTATATATATATTTTTCTATGATTTCTAAGAATATTATTACCATATTTTCTGGATTATAACACTCTCCGTGGTAAAAAATGGAGATGTAGCCCAAACTTGCGCCCAGTATCAATAATGTTATATAAACCTTATCACACTCCCACACCTAAGGGATTATAAGATGTGCTCCCAACGTGTGCTGTAAAATAAAAGGGAAATGGTGCATCATATAATCTGGAGACAGTTGCATTACAGCAATTCCCGCGTTATTCACGAACGTGCTATCCGCGATGTTGACCATCCGCGAAATGCATCTGGAACTCTGCATGCCTGCATCAAGAGAGTGCGAGAGAAAGAAAGTGGTGAGATAAAGTGATGATAGAGAATGTTAATAGATTATGTAAGTTAATTTAAGGAAATTCATAAAAGAGATAGGTGTTCCTTGGACAATATAATTGTCTGCAACATGTGCTATTCACGAGCATCTCCGGAACGTACAGTGAGGGAAAAAGTATTTGATCCCCTGCTGATTTTGTAAGTTTTCTCACTGACAAAGAAATAATCAATCTATAATTTTAATGGTAGGTTTATTTGAACAGTGAGAGACAGAATAACAGCAACAAAATCCAGAAAAACGCATGTCAAAAATGTTATAAATTGATTTGCATTTTAATGTGGGAAATAAGTATTTGACCCCCTCTCAATCAGAAAGATTTCTGGCTCCTAGGTGTCTTTTATATAGGTAAGGAGCTGAGATTAGGAGCACACTCTTAAAGGGAGTGCTCCTAATATCAGCTTGTTATCTGTATAAAAGACACCTGTACACAGAAGCAATCAATCAGATTCCAAACTCTCCACCATGGACAAGACCAAAGAGCTCTCCAAGGATGTCAGGGACAAGATTGTAGACCTACACAAGGCTGGAATGGGCTACAAGACCATTGCCAAGCAGCTTGGTGAGAAGATGACAACAGATGGTGCGATTATTCACAAATGGAAGAAACACACAATAACTGTCAATCTCCCTCGGCCTGGGGCTCCATGCAAGATCTCACCTCGTGGAGTTGCAATGATCATGAGAACGGTGAGGAATCAGCCCAGAACTGCACGGGAGGATCTTGTCAATTATCTCAAAGCAGCTGGGACCATAGTCACGAAGAAAACAATTGGTAACACACTACGCCGTGAAGGACTGAAATCCTGCAGCGCCCGCAAGGTCCCCTTGCTCAAGAAAGCACATATACATGCCCGTCTGAAGTTTGCCAATGAACATCTGAATGATTCAGAGGACAACTGGGTGAAAGTATTGTGGTCAGATGAGACCAAAATGGAGCTCTTTGGCATCAACTCAACTCGCCGTGTTTTGAGGAGGAGGAATGCTGCCTATGACCCCAAGAACACCATCCCCACCGTCAAACATGGAGGTGGAAACATTATGCTTTGCGGGTGTTTTTCTGCTAAGGGGACATGACAACTTCACCGCATCAAAGGGACGATGGACGGGGCCATGTACCGTCAAATCTTGGGTGAGAACCTCCTTTCCTCAGCCAGGGCATTGAAAATGGGTCGTGGATGGCTATTCCAGCATGACAATGACCCAAAATACACGGCGAAGGCAACAAAAGAGTGGCTCAAGCAGAAGCACATTAAGGTCATGGAGTGGCCTAGCCAGTCTCCAGACTTTAATCCCATAGAAAATCTGTGAAGGGAGCTGAAGGTTCGAGTTGCAAACGTCAGCCTCGAAACCTTAATGACTTGGAGAAGATCTGCAAAGAGGAGTGGGACAAAATCCCTCCTTAGATGTGTGTAAACCTGGTAGCCAACTACAAGAAACGTCTGACCTCTGTGATTGCCAACAAGGGTTTTGCCACTAAGTACTAAGTCATGTTTTGCAGAGGGGTCAAATACTTATTTCCCTCATTAAAATGCAAATCAATTTATAACATTTTTGACATGCGTTTTTCTGGATTTTTTTGTTGTTATTCTGTCTCTCACTGTTCAAATAAACCTACCATTAAAATTATAGACTGATCATTTCTTTGTCAGTGGGCAAACGTACAAAATCAGCAGGGGATCAAATACTTTTTTTCCCTCACTGTATCCCTCGCGAATATTGTACGGTAATATAAATGGCCAGCACCTTATAAAACAAATGAAGACTAAATGAGGCAAGGATTCTCCATGTGGTCAGTAACTGCAGTCACACATGTGCCATGGGTGGAAAATTTACCGCAGTCAGAGCCGTTTGTATTTTTCCAAAGTATTTCCCAGATGGGGGTGGTTCCACGCCTGTAATTCAGTACTGTCGAGACAACGAGGGTTGGTGGATCAAACACATTTTGTGAAACTCCCTTCCCATGAGCAGCGAGGTGCCATGCTCTGGCTCACCAGAAGAAGGCGGTACAGCAAGTGTGGACAGAGCTCCATGCGTTACATCTCTACTGAACAGAGAGTTGTCCCCCTCGTACGCGTGGGTTTTATGCAGGTATTCCGGTTTCCTCCCCCGTGTAAACACTCAGTGGTTGGCCGATAACACCTTAATATATAGAGGACCGCTGAGCTTGGGATGGGACATTTGACGCTTCCCACTTCTCTATGGTTCCTCGCTGCTACAAGTGATCCCCTCTCTTCAAGAGTGAGCGCACACTGTGCGCGTTACAAATAATTTTGCTGTCCATCCATCTATTTTTGAGATTACTAAAATTGACTAGATTTTTTACAAACCTTCCACACTCTCTGAAATCTTAAAATCCTTACCCACCACTTAAATTATTTCCCTTACTGCATCAGCCTTCCATCACCACCACCCTTTCATCCCACTCCTCTGCTGGAGTTCATGAAAATACTCCTATATCTATAAGAGTCTCTGGACTCTTTTTCACGAGTCCTGCATTCTGGCGTTAATTCCATTTTAAAATCGAATTACCTACTTCGTGTGGACCCATTTTAACGGGTGCCTTTTATTGGTTAAGTTAGATTTTAAATCTTGACTTAAAGCTTTCGTGACTGCAGGAATTGATATTCTTTGGGTCTTTTGGTAAAATCACGTAGATAGGTTCAAAGAAAATAACAATGTTTTGTTATTATGACAATATTTTTTATTTTCTTTGAACCTATCTACGTGACTTTACCGAAAGACCCAAAGAATAAGTAAGATTTTATAAACCAACTTTTAATGAAAAGTACTTTTAGTGTTGTTTTCACACTCACGTTGCATGAAATAAATATTTATTATATTGTTGCTTAAATTAGCTGTAAAGTGCTTTAGCTGTGCAATGAACATCATCCGAAAAAATATATGTACAAATTACATTATCATGGGGGAGATGTGAACTAAAGCATCACTGTACATTAGTTATAAGCAGTGTCATCCGAGAAAAATTGATACATGTGTGTTTGAATAAAATATTTCTTCCCAAGACAGCATCATATTTTAAGAATTGTACATTGTCAGCGTTTATAAGAATTTATTTAATTAATGCTGCCGTACATTTTTAATCATGCAAGGAAGGAAAATAGCATTTTGGACAAGCAGAATCAATCTCGTGTTATTCTCGCTAATTGCATTCCAAAAGTGCCATTAATAGAGGCATGAACAGACATCTTTCCAGAAACGCAAGAAAACATCTGGGCCCTCCTATAATTCCTGAGGAGCAATTTTGGAAAGAGACATGCACAGAACTTCGTTGGACGTCTCCCCAAAGGGCTTTTATCACACCGCTATCATAAAATGACCATCATTTTGCTGTTTACATGAGTGACCATCCTTATTTAATTAGAGATGGACGCGTGGGTATTTATACTCGCGCGTCAGCTCATAGTGTATATGTAGCTATGCCACACGGGTTTCCAGCATGTAAAATGCGTTTCTCTCAAAGCTACCGCGCCATAACAAGTAAAATAAATAACAGCCCTTTGCCCAGTCCTCTGCTGAAAGGACTCTCCCCATGCCGTGTCGGACATGGGGATAGATTGAGCATACTTCACCACTCTGGTCAATCTGAGTTGGTGAATGGGGGGGGGGGGGGGGACCCGGACCAGTTCAGACTTCACTGTAAGTACAATCCCCATCGGGATGAGCAATGAAATGATAATCACAATCAAGGAAATGAGTACCAGAGGGAAGCCACGATTGTATGACCCGCCCCGACTGGACATCTGTGAAAAAGAGCTTTATAGCTCATCGGATTCCTCCAGTTTAAATGAATATTCTGATTCTGGATGCCATGTAAAGAGGCCGGAAATCGCCATCGGAGTTGTGAATTCTCTACTGCTGGCTCAAAGCTGCCATGGAGAGGAAGAGCACCACCCTACTCTCGTTTGAGCAAGAAGACTTTCGAGTCGACTCGCATTGCTTGCACTGTGCCTCATTGGACGCGTGAAATCGCGCACGTTGGGTTGAACCTCGCCGAGGGGCTCCTGTAAATATTAAAAAAACAATACAAAATTAATAGCAAATAATAGCTCTCCCACATAGAGCGCCACTTACACTTCGTTCCACCAAGCGTCGCGTCGTTGTCACCCAGAATCTCTTGCCGCCCTTTCCACAGTTCACTTCGGCGCTGACCTACGACAGCATCCTGGTGATCAGCGAGGCCTTCAAGAACCTCCGCAAGGACCGCTTTGAGCTGTTCCGCAAGGACAACGCCGGGGACTGCCTCGCCAACCCCCCGGTGCCCTGGCCCCAGGGCTACGACATCCAGCAAGCCCTAAAAAACGTAAGCGGTCACCGAGGCACCTGTCTAGTTCACGGACCAACACCTTGTTTTGTTTTGTGTTTCGTTTGTTGTCCTTCCCCCGCGTCTCTGATTAGCACAGTTAGCTACGTACGCTGCGAAATAAGTTGTTACATCAGTATTTCAAGTGAATCTTGCAATAGCCTTTATTTACAATGTACGTAATCACGTAATCAACAATTATCCATTTGCAAGAAGTGGCATCGGTAAATATTTACAACCGCCTGTGGTACCGAATCCTGCTCTGACTCACGGCTTTTTGCATCATGAAGGCAAACACAAACAAACACACCAACACACACACAAATCAAACACACACAAATTAACACATGCAAACTAGCACACACAAGGGTAGGATTGAAGTCGGAATGAGTTTATTTGTTTATTTATTTCAGCATATTTTCTTAATTCAATGCCCATTTTGAGATTTTATTTTGTACATTTGTTTGGAATGTATAACATTTAAGACAAATCTCAATGGTTAAACATTCATTTCTACATCCTTATAATTGGAATGTTAACAAAAATATAATCAGTTAAAACATGTTATATGTACACTTTCAGCATTTTCATAAATTGCGCAAAAAATTCATAAACATTTTGATTTAAAGCTTTCGTGACTGCAGTAATTCATATTCTTAGCTCTTTCGGTAAAGTCACGTTGAAGGGAAACAATAAAATAATAAAATATATATAAACAATAAAGAATTATAAAGTATATAATAATAAAATATATATAAACAATAAAAAATATATTGTTTTATATATAATTTTATTGTTTCCCTTCAACGTGACTTTACCGAAAGAGCTAAGAATATAATTCATAAACATGTCAATTATGTCACGTGATGGTGGTGGGAAATGCAGACAACATGGAATCTAAAATAATTCGTAAAATCGGATCAGGTGAATTTAGTATCTTCGCAAGATTCTCGGATTATCTGATAATCAGGAACAAATTGTTGTTTTGCAGTTAAATTCCTCGGCTGCAAATCCCAGATTGCCCAACTAAAGTTGGAAGCGTCAATAATATAAATTTGAATTAATTAGCGTCAGTTTTCTGAGCACCTCTACGGCACCCTCTAGTGATATCACCACGGTATGAATACCTGACACGGAGTGAATATCCCTAAATAATTAGTATTATACAGGCGTCTCGCTTAACGGGCCTTCTTTCAACCACAATCCGCTCTCACGAGCAATTCATATTTAGACCGATTTGTTCGCAAAGCAATCAAAATGTCCACTTATGGAGCGGACACCGGTCGATGAATATGCATCCCCTGGCAGCAGAGCCGCACGGTGGCCCACAGCTGTTTGTTTCACAGCTCTCCTGTGCCGAGTACCCCCACGTGTGGCAGAAGGGGGCCTCGTGGTGGCACTGTAATGGGTGGGTGTGGGGAGCGCTCACGGCCAACACCAGTGAACCGGTCCTGGGCTTCCTCTAGGTCGACTCAGCCTCAAATGAGTAGCGTACCTGGTGCGGTGTGTAAACATCGCCACAAGGGAGACAAAAGCAGCCGGGCGTGGTGCTGGCCACCCACCTCCTCGTGTGCCCATAACAGCCTTTAAAGAGGTACTCGCTAACAGCGTTTGCACCAACAGTCTGTTAAAGCTATACGAGGAATCTTGCACTGTGGTTCTTCAAGTGCGGTGTTACATTTGATGTGCTATTACGTTATTTTCGTATTATATATATTTTTTCTCACGTTAAAAATGTTGTTCCAAGAGTGGAAAATGTTTGGCCTCAAACTTCTATTGCAGCTTTTGACATGGGAGTGAGTCAATAGGAAGACGACGATTGTTGCTCACGAGTTTTCGCTTGCCGAGCTATTTTTCACCGAGCGTGTCTCGCTCCAAGGCCGTAATTATAATATATATTGGGGGAGACACATCCCCCCCCAATAATCAAATATGCTCAAAATGTCCCCCCAATATATTGCTATAAAATAGATTTCTGTTTATATGATTGTGGTTATGGTTGTACTTTATTAATCCATAATCTCTGCCATTACGTACAATGAAACAAGAAAAGGTAAAAAAAACAGCAATGTAATACAATACACTATTAGACATTATATAAAAACAAATCCATCCTATGTGTTAGTGAATTTTTTGAAATTTTAGGCAGAAATGGCAGGAAATTAGTTTTCAAATTTAGATTTTTTTTCTGAAGGGGGACCCCCAGACCCTCTGGAAAATGTGGTCCCCCCCAATGTTGACTCCATGGCTACGGCCTTATCTCGCTCGTTAAGCGAGAGACACGCGGCTGTACCATAACACTGTGGGATGCTGCTCTTGGTGTTATGGTTAGCGCGAACTCAACTTCCAATTCCAGAGGTCATAAAGTTCAACCTCCCAGAGCGGCCAGTTGATACAACCATGCAAGTTTATTTAATCACCTCCGCCTCTCTCCACCCAGTGGTTAGATCGGTCGGCAGGTGTATGGTGGGGCTAAACGTGTGTGGGTACGATCACCTCTTTAATAGATATCTGAGCAGCAGTAGGATAAATATCCTCTGCAAATGCTCTCCAGAGCTCCGTCTCGTGGAGGCTCAGCTGCCAGCAGTGGCATGAGCAAGCAATTGCAGGGCTGCACTTTGAACTTTTACACAGACAGCTCATACGTACATGCATTTAACTACATTAATTTTGATATGTCCCCAATCTATTGGTTGCCTGAATGGAAGAACCAGAGCAAGCACAAATGTTCATGATGCATTTTATGCCGATAGCTATTTTTTGTCATACATTTACCTTTTTCCATGAGTTTTCATTTCCGTTAAATTAACCTGTAAAAATGCAATCGTTCATTATTATATTTATAACGTGCACAAGTTGAACTTATGAATTAAAATTCAGACTATGGGAGCCACCACAGAGAAACGACATTTGCCTTGCCTGGTTCGAGAGATGACACAGAGCTTGACAAAAAGAGATGAGGCCACTTGAGGCAGATATACGCAATCTTCTTCGTTGTGTCTCCTGTCCAACCTATATACAGTTGTCTTTTCCCAATATTCTGCATAGGCCATTGCTTCTGGTGTTGGCATTGCAAAGTCTTGAGGGGTGCATTGTGGTGCAGCAGGGTATCTCAGGAGATGAGCCATGGTTTGCGTCTCGTGAAAAGCACATTGTTAGTTTGTGTAGAAGCCCCTCTATGATTTCACAAGAGAGTTGCATCTGCTTAAACCCACTCTCAGTCTATTTAGGCTCCGACATTTGAGCCATTTGGAAATGGAGCCAGATCCGAGCTCCTCACTGAGGGTGATTCCTCGCCGGCTCCATTGAGCAGCTTTGTCGCTTGGTTTTTCCCATTTTTGCAGATTAAAGTTTTGGCATATTCCGGTGATGTGGTCAGTGGTACAGTGGAGCACAAGAAGCTGTTTCTCGATGAGAGACAAAGATGTACGCAATATAGCCTGTGGACAAATCACCTGGAATGTGCCCAGTCTCATCAGATCCCAGCAGCCAAGCAGGCTGGAGCCTGGTTTGCGCCGGAGGGTGGAGAAAAGGAGGCGAAGCCAATGGGCAATGATCACAGATACCACGTGCCCCAAGCGCTAGGCTCCAATGTTTTGATGCAAACATGTGTCACGTAATGTACGTTATCTTCACCCACTCATCGCTACAGACATCGCAAACATACGAGCATACAGCATCATCGGTTCACACTTCGACTAATGCAACTCTGTACTCACCCGGTCCCCACAAAAAACCTAATAAAACTCCGTCTACAAAACCACCTCGCACACTGTCCTCACCTCCCACCAACTCCGTCTGACCTCCAACTTCGATCTCTGGGCCCTCCACTGGCTCCCAATCCCCATCAAAATTACCTTAGAAATTGCCTGCCTCTGTTATACTGCCTACAGGGCCGGTTACCCTCCATAGCTTTCGGACCTCCAGACGCCCTACTCCAAAACCACCACCAGAACTCTCCGCAGTTCTACCCAGGAGGAGTTATTTTCGACAATGAGAGTCAGGACCACGATCGCCATACGTCGCTTCTCTGTTGTCGGCCCCTCCACCTGGAACGCCATCCCCCTCCACATTCGCAGCTCAGTCTCTTTACCTGCCTTCAAAAAACATATTTTTATTTGACTTTAACTTGAACTGATGTCTGAGCTGGGCTCCGTGCCTCAGGGTCACTGCCTTCGGGAAAAGTGAAAATAGTGTGCGTTATAAATTGGCATTATTATTATTATCATCACCATCATCAGGAATGGGAAATCCACGGTATCGTGAAAGTATTCACCCACAAGTCACCACATATGACGATCCTGCGATATAACAAAGACAAAGATCTCCCGTATAGCCGTAACAGATGGTAGGTGCAAGTGCTGTTAGCAAGTAGCACCTATGAATGCTGGCACAGCACTGGAGGGGGCGGGTGGCCAGCACAACACTCGGCTACCTTTGTCTCCCGAGTTGTAATGTTTACAAACCGCACCAGGTACTCATTTGAGACTGAGTCGACCTAGGGGAGGCCCAGGACTAGTTCAAATAATCATCACTAGTGTTGATCATGAGCGGGAATTGAACCCGGGTGGCCGGGTTCGTAGCGCAGTGCGTGAACCACTGTGCTCCCGCTCCCCACCATCTACCCTGCTCCTGCACACGATTAACACAGATGGCTACATACGGTGTGAAAGAAGTTCAACATATATACATGCTAATCGAACAGATTTCATCACACCCCCTGCTCGTGAACATCCTAGTGGACGCGTTCTATTTTAGGCGGCCACTCCATAATTAATTTGTTTGTTCTGCCCAAGCCCACCGACTTGTTTTAACAGTTTGGAAGAAGTCATGAACCTGCATGTTGTGCCTCTTTCTGTCTCTCAGAATGATTCTGAGCATGCATTTCCCCATTACCTTCGGTGTTATCCTAGACAAATATAGCTTCAAATATATACGTAGGTGTGTGGCAAGTTTGCCATATGTTCACCTCATGCCTGCACAAACCAATAGGCATTCGC